TAAAATCTAACTTTTGTTGACATATTATAAGAATGTCTAATCTGTAATTTGATGCCTTTTGGAGATTTTTCCATCTTTCCTTGGCTTCTTTATGCACATTAATACAAATTTTTAGCTGGGGTGCCCAAACTTTCAATCCCCACTGTATATATATATATATATATATATATATATATATATATATGTATACACATTTTCCATCAGGTGCTAAAGCGGTATGACTTTTTTTTTTTTTTTATCAGAGATCATTTTTATTAAACAAATTCAAAACACACAGATTCCAGAAATGTTCACATTACAGTACAAAACTGGGACGTACATGAACAAATAGACAAATACTCCCACCGGCCACTTTATTAGTTACACCTTGCTAGTGCCAAGAAAATCTCCCCCACACCATTACACCACCACCACCAGCCTGTACCGTTGATACAAGGCAGGATGGATCCATGCTTTCATGTTGTTTACATCAAATTCTAACCCTACCATCTGAATGTTGCAGCAACCAGTCTGCCCATTCTCCTCTGATCTCTGACATCAACAAGGCATTTTCGTCCGCACTACTGCCTCTTACTGGATATTTTCTCTTTTTCGCTGTAAACCCTAGAGATGGTTGTGTGTGAAAATCCCAGTAGGTCAGCAGTTTTTTAAATACTCAGACCAGCCCATCTATGCCATGTTCCAAGTCACTTAAATCCCCTTTCTTCCCCATTCTGATGCTCGGTTTGAACTTCAGCAAGTCATCTTCACCACGGCTACATGCCTAAATGAATTGAGTTGCTGCCATTTGATTGGCTGATTTGCAATTCGTCTCACCAAGCAATTGAACAGGTGTACCTAATAAAGTGGCCGGTGACTGTACATCATTCAGCAATGCAAAGCTGTGTGCAGGCGATAACCATCCAAAAAGAACATACAGCCCCATCTAGTGGTCAAGAATGTCAGTTAACACTAGAGATTCTGAAGGGCTGCTCTGCACATTGCTATACACTCTATGTAGCTTTGCATAAAAACAGGGATATTTTTCACATTCATTGCAATAAATGTTTGAACTGGTCAACTGCATCAAAGTAATCCCCCTGTGGCCAGTCTCTACTGCATTCTATCGTCTCTCAGACACTGGTTAATAGCTGTTTTTTGCTGCATAGTAGAGAGGATGCCCACCTCTACAGGCACCAGTCCATACGCACCAACTCCAATAACTCAGTCTAGGAGATGTCTTTTTGATATTGCTTGAAGAACTTTCAACAGGAGAGGAATTTGGGGCATGGGATATTTCAAAGAATGATCAGGAACATCAATGAGAGCACAACTTTTTCCCTAGTCTCTCTCTATGGAGATAACTGGGGATATCGGACAATCTAAGGCCTCAAAGCTGTAGACCACAAGGCAATTTTCTTTGACATCTGGTTACTCTTTACTGCTGCATCACTATTAGTACCCAAAACAATTTCAAGAATGCTTCTTAGTAACAGGAGGACACTTTTCTCTAGCAGACACTCCAGGATCTTGTTGAAGACAGAACTGGCCAGGACTCTTGAAATCAATGAGACACTGTCTCAGTCCACACTACCTCTGGTTACCTCTTATACCCAAAAGCACACAGTCACCAGGAATCAATTTTGGATCATTACTCACAAGTCCCCAGGACAGCTGCACAGCTTTCAGCTTCCTCCGGACATGGTTTAGTGAGGGAGACAACCTTCTCCAGACCAAATGGCTTAAGGTTAAGTCTTACAGCCAGCTTGGGATCATTTACAGGTCCTCAGCACGGCCACACCTGACACCTCACAGAACATCTCCACAGTCCACAGGCTGCTTCAGGGCAGCAACCCCCCCTCAGGCTTTAAAAACCTCCTGGGAAGAAGGAACAATCTCACCAGGATGTCAGTTGTGGTATGTGCATATGTATCCTGCGGAAGCCCAATTCCAGATGGGTATATTCAAACTTTCAAGAATTGATTTAAATTACGTCTCCACAGGTTTTAATACATACACATATACACCCCTGGGCCGGGGCGGACTGACAACTTATGGGGCCTCCGGGCAATAGGGGATCATGGGGCCCCTGTGCCCTTGCCCAAACTCAAAAAAGCCTATGAAAAAGGTACCAGGGGCATCTCATGGGGCCCCCTACTGACCCCGGGCCCTCGGGCAGTGCCTGAGTTTCCAAATGGTCAGTCCGCCCCTGCCCCTGGGCCCATACACGATTGGAAATGGGTGCACAGATGGTTATAATACATAGAGGGTAGAGCCCTCTGGAGTCGGTGACTGCAGAGATTGAATGGCAAGTCCATAGATCAAAAATGGACCTTCTATGGTAAAGAATCAAAAGTTGTGGGTATTATCAGCTCTGTTGTAGAAAAATACGGCAAAACGTGTACCAATCCATAACTTGGGCTGTTGTATAGTTGAACACACACAGATCAATTAAGAAAAGCCCCATAGTCCATTTTAACAAAAGGAAGATGCACAAGTTCAGGGAATGCTGCAAGAAGTGGATAGCTCATTGGTACAACAATGTATGTCCATATAGTATGGCGGTATATGTGTCAATGTGTATCCACCGTATGGCTGTATATGTATCACCAGTATATAGGATGCAAAAGCAACGGGCCACCTCTTCACCAGCTGCCCCTCATGGGGGTCTAATAAATTCAATATATGATATATTGGCTCATGCATAGATCATTTTTCGAAGTGTCCCACTACATAGATGTTCTTCATTGACCTAGATACAGCAGTTGCTCATAGATGCATCAAGTTATATCCACAATGTGGCGGTATGTACATCGCCACTGTATATGGTGCAGAGAAATTAACATCCACTTCCCCCCACAGGGGGATCTAGAAAACCATGTGTGTTGAAATTAAATTGCTTACAGACCATGGGGTGGTATTCCACCAGTTCAGGCAATCATCACGCACCTGTGATATGTTTGATGGGTCTGCGCTATTGCGCTATGAAAAGTCTTTAGTCATCACAGGATGCTGTTAAGGAGGTGCATGGGACAGTCTTACCGCTGAGCAACCATCCCCGTTACAGTGATGTATGAGACCTGTGTGTGGAAGATGACCATCAGATGTCCAGGTCGTGATGTATCAGCCATCCCTTCATCCACAGCAAACCATCACACTCGTGGTCGTGCCCGTGGGAATGTGATGTCATTGATGTGACCGGGGTGTTAACCATTTCCATACCGGGCACTTTTACCCCTTCCCGCACAGGCCATTTTTCAGGTTTCAGCGCTCTCACACTTTGAATGATAATTGCGCAGTCATACATCATTGTACCCAAACTAAAATCTTATCATTTTCTTCACACAACTCGAGCTTTCTTTTGGTGGTATTTAATCACCACTGGGGTTTTTATTTTTTGCTAAATTAACAAAAAAAGACCAAAAATTTTGAAAAAAAAACACGTTTTCTTAGTTTCTGTTATAAAAGTTTGCAAATAAATAATTGTTCTTCATAAATTTAGGCCGAGATGTATTCTGCTACATGTCTTTGGTGAAAATAACCCAAATTAGGATGTATTTTTTAGTTTGTAGGAAAGTTATAGAGTTCACAAACTATGAGATATATCTGAATATTGATCAATCCTGAAGTACTGACAGCCAATCTAATTTCTTGAGGTCCAAGAATGTCAGAACAGTACAGATATCCCCCAAATGACCCCTTTTTGCAAAGTAGACAGTCCGACGTACTTCATTAGAGGCATGGCGAGTTTTTTGAAGTTGTATTTTTTTTGTCCTAATTTTTCGGAAAATTAAAAAATTATTTTCACTATTTTTTTTTACATACTGTCACCAGTGCAGTACAGCGTCATCATATAACTGGCATGGCGGTGATCAGGGACACTGACTGGTGACAGTATGAAAAAAAATATATATATATATATTTTTTTTTTAATTTTTTATTATTTTTAATTTTTTATTACTTTTTTTCTTTTTTTTTTTAAAGATTTATTTTCATATTTCACTATGTCCAAAGTAGTACGTTACCATAGTAACATTGTACTACTTTGGGGAAGTGATCAGTATTTTTTTTTTTTTTTTTTTTGTTACACAATTTGCTTATAGCAAAGAATTACTTTGCTATAAGCAAGCATTTATCTGAATGACATTGATTCGTTCAGGGTTTATTTTTTTTTTTTTTTGCTTAGCTGTGATTTGGCCACAGCTAATCACATGACATGTGCATGTGATCGCTGTGACCATTCACAGCTAGACACTAGTATACAATGGATGGCATGAATGAAGCCATCCATTGTATACAACTGTCATGTGACCTGCTGTGATTGGTCACAGCAGGTCACATGGTACCGGCAACGGGGCCGATACTCAGATCTGTCATCGGCCGTGTCCGAGGTACACGGCTGGTGACAGATCGCACCACTGTGCGGCTCTGCAAGCGGGAAAACTGCGCATGCCCGGGAGGACGCCAATTGTTTTCCACCCTGGAAATCTACAGCATTTTGCCAGCCGCCAAACGGCTATTGGCCGGGCGGCTATTGGTTAATGCTTCATCATTGGTATTGATTAAACTTTAAAGGAATAGTGCCTCATCAGAGGTATTAATTGGAGGAATGGTGCTTCATCATTAGTATTAGTTGGAGGAATAGTGCTTTATCATTGGTATTGTTTAACCGCCTCCCTCCATATAGTACAAGGACGGGCGCAAGGTGGTTCTCTCATTCTGGGAGGACGGCATATGACGTCCTCCCATTCTAACCGCGCATGCGCAGGTCCGGGAGCGTGCAGCGCGGCGATCACTGATCAATGGAAAGAGCCGAAGATGTCGGCTCAGTCATGTGATCAGCTGTGTCCAATCACAGCTGATCGCATGTAAACAGGAAAATGCCGGTTATTGGCATTTCTCTACTCACGAGCTGTCACACTGACAGCTTGAGAGGTGAGGAGAGCCGGTAATCTGCATCCCTCAGAGGGGACATATACACTCATCATCAGGGCACTGATGATCAGTGTGCCCTGATGATCTGTGTAGCCCCAGCAGTGCCACCTGTCAGTGTCCGTCAGTGCTCATCCATGCCACCAGCAAGTGCCCATCAGAGCCACATGAGTGCCACATTTCAATGCCTACCAGTGCACATCAATGCCACATATCAGTGTCCATCTAAGCTGCCTTTCAGTGTCACCCATCAGTGCCAGTCAGTGCCACCTATCAATTCCAGTCAGTGCCACCTATCAATTCCAGGTCATCAGTGCTGCCAATCAGTGCCACCTATCAGTGCCATTCAGTACTGCCTATCAGTGCCCGTCAGTGCCGCCTATCAGTGCCCGTCAGTGCTGCCTATCAGTGCCCGTCAGTGCTGCCTATCAGTGCTGCCTAACAGTGCCAGTCAGTGCCACCTAACAGTGCCAGTCAGTGCCACCTATCAGTGCCACCTATCAGTGCCATATATGAGTGCTGCCTTTCAGTGCCCATCAGTGATGCCTGTCAATGCCCATTAGTGCCAAATACCAGTGCCTCATCATCAGTGCCCATCAGTGTCACCTATCAGTGTCCATCAGTGCAGCCTATCAGTGCCCATCACTGCAGCCTCATTAGCACACATCAGTGAAGGAAAAAAATCACTTATTTACAACATTTTATAACAAAAACTAAGATAAAACTTTTTTTTTCAAAATTTTCAGTGGTTTTTGGTTTGTTTAAGAAAAAAATAATAAATACCACCAAAATAAAGCTCTGTCACAAAAAAAATGATAAAAATGTAATTTCATTGTCATTCAAAGTGCAACAGCGCTGAAAGCTGGAAATTGCCCTGGGCAGGAAGGGGGTATAAGTGCCCTGTAGGCAAGTGGTTAAAGGAATAGTGCCTCATCAGTGGAATTAGTTGGAGGAATAGTGCTTTATAATTTTTATTAGATGGAGGAATAGTGCCTTATCATGGGTATTAGTTAGAAGAATAGTGCTCCATCATTGGTATTAGCTGGTGGATTACCGCTTTATTATGTTTATTGGCTGGAGGAATAGTGTTTTATCATTGGTATTAGTTGGAGGAATAGTGTCTCATCATTGGTGTTAGTTGGAGGAATAGTGCCCCATCATTGGTATTAATTTGAGGAATAGTGCCCATCATTTGTATTAATTTGAGGAATAGTGCCCCATCATTTGTACTAGTTTGCAGAATGGTGCTTCATCATTGGTATTAGTTGGAGGAATGGCGATTTTGACACAATTTTACCTCGTTAAGGGTGCATTTTTCATAGGTCATGTGTGCATTTTTGATGCATTTTCAATGCATTTCAGGTCTGGTTCAGGTTAGGTTCACTACTATGCAGTCTGTGTTTGATCCATTTCTGTAGTGTGTTTTGTGTTTTTGCACACGTTTTTGATGCGTTTTGCATTTTTATGGAGTTTTTTGGCCAACTTGTTGCTGGTCAGATTACACAAAATGCATAAACAAACGTACTACATGCAGTTCTGAAGCATCTCCATTGAAGTCTATTGAACCAAAATGACCATTTTGCATTTAAAAAAGTTGCATCGGGTGAAAATGCAGAGATGTGAACATGTCTCTTAGGAAATCATGTTAAATGGACTGTACCGCGTTTCTGCAAAAAGTACTTAAAAACACAATCTTGTGAACTAGACCTCAATGGGGAGGTGCATTTTTGGTGCATTTTTTTAACTGATCAAATATTCAGCAAAAATGCAGCAAACAAGATTTTTAACACCACAAGGGTAGTGCATCGGACCACTATGAAGACATACATTGAATTTAAAGAGATGCATTTTTCTTGAGCTATTCTTGCGCTGTTTTTTAAAGTGAAAGAGCTTCAAAAATTGCTCAATGTGAAAGCAGCCTATTGGTTGAAAAGGTGCTGAAAATAAATTTATATTAATTTAAATTCATGCTAATAATTAAAAAGTCAAATACAAACTGTCCATTTCCGTTTCGATTTTTGACCAATCCTGAATTTTTCAGTTTTGGTTCAGAATTTTAATTTTGGTGCACCACTACTACTAATTAATGGGTGCAATCTGATGGGCTCTACCGGTTTATGGAGGCACTCTGATGGGTCTGCTGATTTATGGGGGCACTTTGATGTGCTCTACTTATTTATGAGGTTACTGTGATGGGCTGTTGATTTATGGGTTCACTGTGTGATATGTTCTGCTGATTTATGGGAGCACTGAAATCAGCTCTATTTTTTTTTATAGGGGCACTGTCATGGGCTCTGAAGATTTATCGGGGTACTCTGATGGGTTCAACTGGTTTATGTTGGCACCATGATGGACTCTGCCGATTTATAGGGGCACTCTGATGGGCTCTGCTGATTTATGGGGCACTTTGATGGGTTCTTCTAATTTTTGGGGCACTCCAATGGGCTCTTCTGATTTATTGGGGCAAGTGATGGGTGCTGTTTTATTTATGGGGTCATTCTGAAGGGATCTGATGATTTATGGGAGCACTCTGATGGGCTATGCTGATTTCTGGGGACACTCTAATGGGTTCTGTTGATTTATGGGGGGGGCACACTAATGGACTTTACTGACTTTTGAGGGCACTCTGATGGGCTCTTCTGATTTATGGAAGCACTCTGATGACCTCTTCTAATTTATGAGGGCACTGCATATTTATGTGGGCACTCTGATTGGCTTATCTTGTGGGAGCACTGTGTGGGGCTTGTATATTTCAGCAGGACAATGCTAAACTGCATGCTCCATCTATTACTGTAGTAGCACCCAGATGTTGTAGAGTTCCCATTTAAACTCTAACACTTCTAGCAGCCTGTGTTTTTAAAAGCAAAGTTTTACGGCTCATTTTCCCCCCTCCCTTATTTCCTGTGAGTATAATGTGTACCATTTCATAGCTGGTATTCTTATCTGTAGCTGCTATCTAAGGTTATTCTGCAGAGCTTAGGAAGCCTTAAAAATGTATAGAAAGTGAAAGAAGAAATGTATGCCTTGTGACGTAATCATTGGTATATTTGCTTGTAAGAAGTTTTCTATAACTCAGCAGATGAGTGCACAAGCCATCTGTTGAATCAAAACAGCGCTGTATTTAATAAATAATTTGTATTCCTTATGTCCATGTCCGAAGTTCTTTGGTTTGCCAAAATTGCTACTACATTACGACATCATGGCTTCATAGTGGAAGAATCTGGGTGCTTAACTGGCCTGCCTGCAGTCCAGACCTTTCGGTAATTGAAAATATTTGGCACATCTTGAAATGAAAAATATGACAAAGAATACCCAGGACTGTTGAACAGTTAGAATCCTATATGGAGCAACATTCCTCTCCAGAAACTGGTCTGCTCAGTTCCCATATCTACAATGTTGTTAAAAGAAGGGGGGATGCTGCACCGTGGTAAACATATATATTTTCTGAATTTGATGTGATTTCTTTTTTTCTATTGTGAATAAAATATGGGTTTGAGATTTTCAAATCTTTGCATTCTGTTTTTATGTAGATTTTACACAGAGTTCCAATTGTTTTGGAAATGGGTTTTTGCTAAAAGAGATGATCAGAGACAGAAATAGATTTCAGGAAATAGTCAAGGCCTATGGGCATGATACAGGAGATGGTCAGAAAGTGTGGACATTCTACAGGAGATAGTCAAAAGCTATGGACATGGTACAAGATATGAGCAGAGCCTATGGGCATTATACAGTAAATGGTCAGAACCTGCAAACATAAATGCTACAGGAGATTGTCAGGGCATATTGGCAAGGTATGAGAGATAGTCAGAAGCAGGAAACATACAACAGGAGATGGCAAGAGCCTATGGGCTTGGTACAGGAGATGTCAGAGAGTGTGGTCATACTACAGTAGATAAGTAGAGCCTATTGACATTGTGCAGGAGATGGTCAAATACTGCAAACAATACCATAGGAGGTGATCAGACACAGCAAAAATACTGCAGGAGATACAGCCTATCGACATGCTACAGGAGATGGTCAAAGACTGCTTCATACTACAGAAGCTTTGCTGTCCCTATGGTGTACAGTTGATGGCCAGAGACTATCGTCATTCTAAATGAGATGGTGAGGGACGGCTAGCATGCTACAAGAGATGTTAGGGTCTATGTGCATGGTACAGGGGATTTTCAGACAATGATACATACTGCTTGAGATAGTCACAGTTTATGGTATAGAAGAGATGGTTGGACATTAATATCATGTTACAGGAAATGGTCCGAGAGTTTGGACATATTACAGTAGATAAAACCTAAGGGCATGGTACAGCAGATGGTTAGATACTGAAACGTACTACAGGAGATGCCCAGAGACTATTGGCAGGGCACAGGAGAAGGTTAGAGACTATCGGTATGCTACAGGAGATGGTGAGAGACTGCAAACATACCACTGGATATGGTCAAGACTTATGTGCATTGTACAGAGAGTGTGGGCATACTATAGGAAATAGTGAGTCAGAGCCTATAGGCATTGTACAGGAGAAGTTTAGACACTGCTGCTGAAGCTGGAGATGAGAGGTGAAAGCTGGATGTAAGAGGCAGAAGCTCGAGTTTAGTGGTGGAAGCTGGACACACAATGAGGGCTGACTGCAAGGGCAGAGCGAAGCTGCTGGGATGGAGCTGAGTGGGAACTGGGTAGATGAAAGACAGTGGCGTGAATCGTGGTAGGTTCTGCTGGGAGTGGGGCACTGTGGGTATAATCAATAAGTCAATGGTTGTAACGTGGGACACTATGAATAGCTTGTGGTACTGTGAATAACTGGAGCATTGTGAGTAGGCATGTGCGTTTCTTTTCATAATGAAACGGTTTTCGGAGATCTGATGTATACAAATCTCTTAATGGACATAGTAATGAATGTCAACAAGTCTGAAAAAAGTTATAATGAAATTACCGAATGCATTAGCTTCATTAATTTCAGTCGGATAACTTACATGACGCGATAGTAGTTTGGGCCCATGGGAAAATTAATTCAATTTTCAGATTTGTTTGATAATTCAGATTTGGATATTGAATTGATCAGAATTTTAAATATGGAATCAACAGAAATATCAACAGAAATATCGAAACCAAAAACTAATTTACACACTATTGCCAAAAGTATTGGGATGCTTGCCTTTATACACACATGAACTTTAATGGCATCCCAGTCTTAGTCTGTAGGGTTCAATATTTAGTTGGCCCACCCTTTGCAGCTATAACAGCTTCACCTCTTCTGGGAACTCTATCCACAAGGTTTAGGAATGTGTCTATGGGAATGCTTGACCATAGAAATGATTCTTCCAGAAGCTCATTTGTGAGGTCAGGTACTGATGTCAGACGAGAAGGCCTGGCTCACAGTCTCCACTCTAATTCATCCCAAAGGTATTCTATCATGCTGAGGTCAGGACTCTGTGCTGGCCAGTCAATTCCCTCCACCCAAAACTTGCTCATCCATGTCTTTATGGACCTTGCTTTGTTCCAGAAGCTCATTTTGGAACAGGAAGGAGCCATCCCCAAACTGTTCCCATAAAGTTGGGAGCATGAAATTGTACAAAATGTATTTTGTGTGCTGATGTCTTAAGTGCTCCCTTCACTGGAACGAAGGGGCCAAGCCCAACCCCTGAAAAACCCCACACCATAATCTCCCCTCCACCAAACTTTACACTTGGCACAATGCAGTCAGGCAAGTACC